AATGAGAATAATATTTAAGGAGATAAAGCAGCAAAACAATTTCCAAGCAAAACAAGGATAACTGCGCCTCTAAATGTCATTCGCATTTGGTTTGTGCACGAAATTGTATTGAAGACCAAACTCCTTCTGAAGAAAAGAATAATTTATTTTCAGTACGAGCTTTGTTTCTAGGTGACAACAGCTGCGCAATACTCTGATGTTAAAAATAGGAATTCAACTTTTTATTTCGAAGTTTCATCCAAGGACTTCTGTTTGCATTTTGTGCTGCTATCTTTCTTAGATTTGCTACATATTGGATGCTGATTTGAGTTTGAGTGGTAGGTAAATTTTGTGGGTACTAATTAACTTTCTTTAAACAACGACTTCTTTCTGTTATTTATCAGCCTTTGTGCCTCACAAATACTCACCAGCAAATGAATAGAATTTTCTTCCTAGCTTCACATAAATTCAATTACGTGATGCAACATAAAGACGTGAACAAACTCATGTCAAGCCATCTCTCCATACTCACTCCTTGCTGTCACAACATAACATGAATTCCGGGAATGTTTATTTAGGAGAAACTGAGGGAGTGTAGAAACTTTAATTGCCAGTCAAACATGACTTGCACGTCAAACAATGACTCCGGCCTGCACATTGTTGCATTGTAATAATTCTTTGGAAAAAACATCTTAACATTCTGGGAATTTTCTTCAAAATCTCATAGTCAGCGATGTGGCAATCCAAAATGAAAAACTAGCTAAGTCTCTCCTACCGCAATATTAATGCCTGAAAATCCTCTACCCTGCAATATAATTTATCTGCTGCACAATATCCACAAAGTTGCACGATAAATTTAGTGTTACACAACATCTTCGGTGTAAGCGATAATTTCAAGACGCGCTTGACTAGCTCGTCCATTGTTACGCACAGCTCACAATTAGCACCTACTAATTGAAGTAGCATGTGGGAACGACGACGCGCGCTGCAAAACGACTAACGCGCATATGACGATCTTCGTTCATCGCGGGTGTTTGCAAGTCATTATTGCATTCATTCATTAATTAATTATGCTGCATTCATGCGACGCGGGTGATTGCAAGTCACTACTGCATCCATTCATCCATTAAATGTTATGCATTCTTAATTCCGGGAAAAAAATAACGGGACAGAGGGTAAAATTTGTCCCGGAATAAACGTATGAACCGAGACAAGACTTCTGTCCCGTACTTTAAAACTTGTGTCCCGGTAAATTATGAACCGGGACGAGACAGACAGATTTGAAACGAGACAAGACGAGATTTGTCTGAATTATTTACGACAAAACAAGTTTTTCGATTACGATGCGAATCATTTCGAAAACAAGGGTTGAAGAATGCCAAGTTAGACCTTTATTGCTAATAGGGCCATAGACAGTTACCAGTTAAATTGAGTTAATTTGCAGATTTAGCAAAATTTGTCTGACTAACTGACATGGCAGTTAATTAGTGGTCCGACAAACACCGCAAACCTGTCGATGTAGTATGCATGGCTGAGTATTGAGTCAAAAATGTTACTCTTAAGTCATAAGTAAGGCTTCGATGGCACTTATGGGAACCGTACGAATATGAGTCGAGTTTATTACGCGTTCGGAACGGGTTCCGGCGCCGTGGAGCGCATAGGGAGTAGGGACGCAGTGTCTAGATTAGTCGGCCAATTAGTAGACAGTGGAGTGGAGTCCTGGTAAGATATTCCTAATAACACCGAAGCTAGTATTAGATTATCTCTGCCTTTAGTAAAATTTTGTGCTACACCTCCAGGAAATCTTCAAAATTGCGCAGTTTCCTGAATTATTATCAAACACTTGGGCTTGTTTAACGTTATTTAGAAAGGATACACATGGATATTTCGAGTTATTTTTGAAGATCAAACTATTATATGTTTTCCAACTTAAATTTTGTTGTATTTTAAAATGTTGTTGATATTTCTTTCCAAACTTTTTTGTTGAAGAAGATTGCTTAAGGCAAGTTCTATGAATCTGATTCTGTGATTGAGCTGGAAGCAAATCAACGTCTGTCCAGTCAGCCGATGTCGCCAGCTACAGCTAGTATGGCCTCCTCCAAACCATCATAGAACACAATTTTTGAAAAAATACGTGTTTTTCCATTTTTATTTGCCTGTCGAGATTAAGTACAATATTAAACCCACAACATGTATTCGTAGCCAAAATCATTTCAATTGCAGAGCTCCAATCAGAATAGTAAAAGGATACATCTCAAGTTATTATATAAATGCAGAGGTTGGCAGTAGCGCGCTACATGTAGCGGTAGCGGCGCTACATTTAAGCAATTGTAGCGGTAGCGCCCGCTACATTTAGAGCATGTAGCGGTAGCGGCGCTACATTTAAGCAATTGTAGCGGTAGCGGTAGCGCCCGCTATATATTTAAGTAGCGATACGAGGTTTTTCCCGCTACAGCGCTACCGCTAAATTTATAGATAAAGCCTTTAGATTTTACTTAATAGTATTAAATATTATTTAAAAACCAGCATGATGCATGCATAATATAAATTACAGAATAAAACTGTACGAAAAATTTCGGTGTAATGTTGTCAACCTCAGCCTGAAACTAGTGTCAACATGTCTGTTGTTACCAGATGTGGGCAGTAGCGCGCTACATGTAGCGGCCGCTACATTTTTGGTAGCGGTAGCGGCGCTACTTTTAAGCAATTGTAGCGGTAGCGGTAGCGCCCGCTACATTTAGACTAGAGCATGTAGCGGTAGAGGCCGCTACATTTTAAAGTAGCGCTGCCTAGTTCTGTATAAATGCATTATGGTAAGCCAAAGTTTACACCACATCGATAATTGATTAGTCTCGTTACGTCTCGTTATGTCTCGTTATAATGGCTAGAAATTCCGGGAATTTTTAAGGTACCTATTTTAACCGGGATGTCTCGTCTCGTCTCGGTATCGTCCCGGAATTCCTACGGAGGGCTGAAAATTCCCCATTATATGGGGAGAAGGGAGGGGGCATTTTTAACGCATTTTTCAGATTCGGCCGTGTCTGTCCCGAATGGATCAGGTACCAAGTACGCGCGCCCCGCTGTCGCCCCACAGTTGTCAAGGAAAAAGACCGGATCCTAATCAGATGCTTATTTCCCTCGTACAACCAGAACCTAAATCGGGCATAGAGCCACTAATTTACACCACTAGGCGAGCTTGGGGTGTCCTTGAGCCAGTAGCTGACAGGAATCAAAAATTTGATAGGCTTATTTCATTGTTTTTACGATTCGTCTCGCTGGCAACGCATAGAAATGTTTTTATGATGGACAGCGCTGTGGGGGAATTTATCGAGCCCATCTTTATCACAAAATCAATCCAAAGCTTAAGGAGGGAAAGCCTTCAAATTTACCATCCATAATGAAATATGAATAGTTTCATCTCATTACTGTTTGCGCCTAAGCGAAATAAAATGATTTACGTTTGCAGTTCTCATATGCTATCAGATTCTACTATTCTACATACGTTTTTTTGCAGATTATGATGCAGCATTATGAATGCTGATTCAATAATATTGTTAGCTAAACATTATTTTTATTTCGTAAAATATGAAACATACCATTCCTAAATGAAGCGTGCAGTGCAGTTATATCATTACAGTATATGTGAAAATATCACAGTCATTCACTAAAAGAATCATCGTGTTACTTAACAAATTTTCATCCTGGTTTCAGTTGCGTAATTTACAACGTTGCAAAAACTGAAGGTTGAATTATCAGAGAATATTTTAATATTCCACAAGTCTCTAAGGATAACAAACTCTCCCTCAATAGCAACCATCTCTCAGTGTTCCTGGAGCTCGCAATTCATACAGCTTAATAAAAAGCCACTTACGGATCGCTGTCCAATTAATCGCTTCTGTTTTGTCTCGAGAACGTAATCCGATTCCCGGTAAACTCGATCATAGCATTATATGCAATAGCATTATAGAGCAGATGACGCTGACGCTGCGGACACAGATGAAGGTCGTAGTTTACCAGATTGAAATAGTCGGAAGTTTAGCGTAGTTCGATTATTCATATAATTAGGCATATTTCGATCTATGTTTGCAATAAATGATTCGCCCAATCTAAGCAAAAGAAACGCTTTTCAGCTCCTAATTAGATTAGCAATCATAGTGATTGCAAAGGTGTTCGTTTGCTATTGCATAACAAACGTGTCACAAAAAGTAAGAACGACTTTCATTCAAATTTGTGAATAAATTTTTTAAGCTGCTTTTACGAGCATATATAAATGAACAAGTTAAGTGCAGGAAAAATGCGTCGTCAAGGAAATGTTGACAGTAACGCGCTGGAACTTGACGCTCCCTCTGCTTGGTGGAGGATAATATCATCACCACGTACATTACATCGACTCAATATCTTACTTCTCAATATAGGGGAGCTGTCCATTCATTTTACGAGGAAGCTATCTACTTATTAATACTCATGTCCGAGTGACTCGTTGCAGTTATAGTTTGTTAGTGTCTACAACTCTACATGAACCTATAGACCGTCAAAATCCATAATACTATTCTGCTCCGAAATTCGGACTTCAACGAATAAACATTTAACTGTTACAAAATTCCCTCAATTGCTGGAGTTTTTCTTTTCAAAATAGACTCGTAAAAAATGTACAAAAACAACGTCAGTGCTATTATTGTGGATCATGGGATTTCTAGCGACTAGCAAGTTTTTTGATGTCCTGTACAAAAATCTGGTGGAATTCATTAAATTTGTTAGTGGTGAATAATCCGCTTTTCTGGCCGGTGTCAAGCCGAACCCGAAGAAGAATAATAGCAGCAAGAACAATCAGATTTCCTACACCAGCCTAACCGCACGGTGCTCCCGCTTCACCTGTGTTTGCCTAGCAGTTTTTTGGAAGGCATACCTGCAGCATCTTACCTCGGCCGCGGTCCTGCTCTCCTCTTGATCTGACGTTGTGGTGGCTCGACGAGAGCGTGGTTCCCCTACCTGGAGCCCAGACGATCTCCTGTTCGGCAGCTGTGGTCACGGTGGTGCTACACTCCTGGAAGCTACACTCCTTGACGCTTCGAGACGTCAGAGGTGATGCTTGATTCTTGGCCAGAACCTGCTTACCTCGCTCCCAGCCAATTTCTCAAAGTTGGATGATCCTTTGGGACTGGACCGTTTATAATTTGTGAATTCCACCGATTTTTTGTTGAACACTGATATTAATTAGCCATGTACTGTGTTCAACCAATTCTCAAGTTTGGGTTTGTTTACTTGCAGGCGTGTACCGTGTGATGTTCATGGCCAGCCATGGATGACCGAGCCAGCCGTTGATCCATCCTTTGAACTTAAATAAAGCCTGTTCAGTTTCTAGTAGCAAATCCTTTCTTATTTTCCTGATTCGTTGAAATTGGTTATGGTTAATAACTGAAGTCGGAAATTCAGTCATCTCCTATTAGAAACTTAATTCAATATTCATTATTATTGTATATGTCCTCCAGTGCCAATAGCGACTGGCTGTAATTATGAACGCAGTATTTTTATTGAGAAAACAATTCAGATAACAAGCTCCATCGGCCATTGCTGTGTTACAGCCAAGGCATAAATTGAAGCCGCTCAGCCGGAGTATACTGTAGCCGGACGGGTTGAGCTACTTACGGTTTATTGTATGTTGCGAAATTCACATTAATTCCAGTCGATGTCCAGCTCCTTCGAATATGCATGTGTTTAATTTCTAAAAAGATATTGAAAGAGTTCAGTCAAGTAATGGACATCAAGAAACAGTCATTCACAGGAAGTTAAAATATTCATGGTCTAAGTTTTTCAATGTTGATCGAGTATCGATTGGTCAAGGAAGTGTGGAGACGAATATGATTCCGAAAAACTAACAACTTAATTATTTGATATTTTTTCTTATAAACTATACTAATTTTACTTAAAGTATATTCGTATCTCTTATTTCATAAGTATTGTAGAAATTTCTCCCAATTATTTATGCAATGAAACTGCATCAATAATAAATAAGAATTCCTACGGATGGGTATATATGAAGCTAAAATAAAAGGATTAAAGAAAATAAAAGAGCGATCATCAAAGGGTTCCCTTGAGTGAATGAAGGATAAAACTACAATAAACTATACCCACATCAGACTAATATTTGTAAACTTAAATATTAAATTGAGGCGAACACTTAATATTTCGAATAAAAGTTATGATGATGTTGTTGCTTGTCGCCCGAGACTCTCTAATTCCAATTCTCGCCTGAGACTCTAATTATTGTTCGACTTTATCATCAGACTTTGTTTTGCGACCTATTCCTGATTGAAAACTTAGCTACTGGTCCACACAACTCTGTGATTAGGGATAATTTGAAGCTATCAAAATTACTTGGATCCCTTTGTGTAATTTTACTTGCGCTTTATAGTATGATTTTATTTGACATTTATTAGTGCAAATTGAGGGTGCGAATGAAATATGCGACGAAACTTTTCGTACACTTCGCTTATTAATATTGCTTACTCTTAAGCAATAATAGGTCTGGAAATTCGTGAGACCGACAGACGCATATTACTCGTGCCAAGGTTGCAAACATGCTTACTACACTGAGAGAAAAAGGCCCCCTGTTTTGAAACACTTGGGTGTTTCAAATTCTCCCCGTGCGATCGTGCCCAAAGCGAAATACCCGTGTGTTTCAAAAACGTTCAGGTGTTTCAAAATGTGCGATTTTGAAACACCTAGGTGTTTCAACGTTAGAACACCGAAAGAAGTCCACGGAGAATGAAACCTTCTTTTCAGAATTTATGCAAAATCCTTGTCCAGCTTCCAGCGCCTGATGAAATTATTTTAACATATTCTAAACCTCCGGTCGATCCCAGTTTAATCCATGGCCGCCTCCATACCAAAATCATGAAAACTATATTTCTCCGTCTCTATCTGAATTCAACGCTTTTCTCCTTCACAGCGATATTAGTCACATATTCATCCTTTTATACACATATTTATTACACAATTTATATCGGTATGTACAATCATCATGAAACTACACTCTTTGCTCTAACCTCTATCGAACTCTGGTTGAAGAAACTATGAGTCGCCCGCCGAGATTCGATCCTCTGCCAAGACTGTAACCAAACGCTCGCGAGCAGGCGCCTTAGTCCACTCAGCAATGGAGACGGCAACTACATAGAGCTGCCGTGTTTGTTTTGTCTTGCGCGCGGTACTACCAGAATAAATCTTCGATTTTATGATCAACTTGTGCGATTGAATGGTATAGACGTCGTTCGTTAACATACCTATTGACAAAAGAACAGCAGTGAGTTGAAACAAATTAACCGAATTGAGTTGGGCCAATTAATCGTAAGCAGTATAGATTCGTGGCATTCATGAGCGGCGGCTCCACACAACCACCTCCTCTGACAGCATTCGGCGCACTGACCACGCGACGCTTGCCGCACAAATATATGCGCGTCAAGCTCGAGAGGTTTTGAAACACCCAAGTGTTTCAAAACGGGGGGCCTTTTTCTCTCAGTGTAGTTAAGCTTATATTACACGTTTGCTCAAGTGTAGTGTCATGCAAACAAACTCGATTGAATTCATTTTGAATATGACGACCACGAGTTAAAAAGTATTTAAGATGGTTGCATCCTTAATTTGGATATCCATGCGATTAATTCCAGCAATGCTCTTTTGATCGAGCATTGCCTAATATATTTGATCAAAGGTGGAGGTTGAGCTGCGTGCTCCAAGGCGATCCAGTTCTGCGCATTACAGCCTTCAAATTAGCCGGCAGGCACTAAAAAATGAAGTCATAGATCAGTGAAATTGCTCTGATGTTCAAGCTTAAGAATACCCTGAATCAAAATGCGCATCAGAATTCAATTTGCGGATTATTGATGGGCTTTTTGTCGCTTCATGTCTTGTACTCCATTGCAACCAATTATGGTACCATATTTAAGGATCCTTAAGGTTATTTTAAATCGGAATAATTAATGCTAAAACTTTATTAGGAATAGTTTCCAAAGCGCCCTCGAGGTATAGCTTTATTAATCATGGCTATAAACCAGTGTGACGAAGAAGGCTTGATGTTTGTCAATTATGGCTGATTAGCAATCTATAAATGAAGCAGACCGTATATTTTCGTATACGGTCTGCTGGAACAGTATATTGAATTTCGTGTCGCGTCCGCTCTCGCGATTTTTCCTTATGAATCACAATTTGAAAAAAATTCTCATGCAGAAAATTACATGATACATCCAATGCTCGCTAGATAAGTATTTTTTGTCATTAATTAAAAATCATCTGCTAAAATTATTCCTTCATTATATCGACAAAAGAACAATAATATTTTAAAATGGATGTACGGACACAGTATTAAATACTCATTGCGTGTATCCTTATGCCCATCTATCCTTATTAGGATATGAGATGACCTGAAATGGGCCTCATGTCTACACCATCATGTGCTTCAAAATCACCTATGATTTTATAAACTTTTTAACTTGAGAAACATTTTGTTTTTTGACCACATAGTCATGGTTTAGTCGTAGCTGTTGAAATATAATTGATAATTTAAAAAAAAATCAAGCACAAAAACAAGTATTTGATTTATGATTATGGCATTTTGCTTGACCCGCGTGCCCTCCCAACTGTCTCCCTCGTAATAACAGGTCGCTGGAAAATGAGACTCTGCATGGGTAAAAGTTTGAGAAAAATTCTCATCAGCAAAGGGTCTTCCTCTTATGAAAGGCGACGGTGTGAAATTCTTGCGCTAACAATATTAGGCAGACGACGAGCCTGGAGGACAAACCTAATCTTTCTTCCTTCACGAAAAATTTTAAGTTTTTAATATTAGACATACATCGTTTCAGCTCTTTCGTTGGTATTGAAATGTCATGATCAAATGCACTGGCAAATTATATATATCACGATTTATTTCTCATTGGTAATCGCGTTGAATGAGCGTTTTTTATCAGCTCCTTTTGTAAGTCACTGAAAAAATGTAAAATATTGCGTGAGCGTGTCGTTTCTGTCTAACGATATGTTGCGCCACAAAGGAAACTGAAAGTTTGTCTGCAAAATAATGTCATTTTGATCATAGTTTTTGCCAGAATATTGATGAATACTGGAATGTAGTTGTACTTTTTTCGGTTAGGAAATTCACATTAATTCCAGTCCATGTCTGGCTTTTGATCCAGCGTTTGATTGAAAACTAATTGGATATTTTCTGGGTGTACTTTTTTTATCCATTTCATAATTTCGGAGAGTTTGAAGGAAATAAAATCCAGATCAACCACATTCGATGGAACAAATGAATTTATTGAACTTTAAGCTTTCACTGCATACCATGCAGTTTAAAAATTAAAACAATTTTGGATGTATTGGCTACTAAAGCTTGCATACCATTCCTTTAAATCGATTCGTTACGCACAACTCTATCGTGGGTATAGCGGCAGGCTGGCAGCGCTCAAGTGTCCTGATGAGCAAAACCAACGCTCACTATAACCACTTTTTTACCCAGAAATCATAATGAAACTTGCACAGGGAATGTAAAACTTTACAAACGTGGAACTTGACAAACGGCAAACGGACGCTGATCAATCTTCCGTTTACGCTTCACTGGACACGTGATGCTACGGTGCTACCCTCAAGTCTTCGTTCATACTACTTTCCTATCCGTAATCTCTAGTCTCGATTGAAATGCTTTCTAAAACATTGCAACTATCCTAACATCAAAACATTAAATTATCACAAGAAAAATATTCAGTATAAGTAAAATATTGCATTAATAAATTGCCATTTGAGCCAGTTGACATATGAAAACAAGCCTGCATGATAAAGTGCTTTTAAATGCCATGTTAACAAATAAATATGAATATTGATATAATATTAGTATACACATCTTTACATTTTCAATTGAATAGCGCTGTTTTCCAACCTAACTGTCGTTAAAATCTCAGCTTATTCCACACTATCCTACATTATCCCCCAATTCGACCATATGTTGCGAGAGCGCTAGCGTCGGCTATTTCGTGGTCCATCCCGGTTCGGCACGAGCCTCTCTTTCAATCTTTACAGTAACTATGAAATTAAATGCAGTTTTCATGGCACTTGCGCTGTGGCGAGGATAAATTTTATGATTTTACCTTCACCCGTTTTAAATTAAAACGGGTGAATTCAGGTGAATACAAGTTTTAATGCCATATTGCGCCGTGGCGAGGGTTTTTTAACAATCTGTCGTACTCCCATTTTCAATTAGGTTAGGTTGCGTTCGGTTGCGTTGGATTAGTTTAGGACTTTAGGTGTGGAACTACCCGTTTTACCGTTTTAATTGAAAACGGGAGTAGATAACATTGAGAAACAAGTCTTCGATCTAGAGC